AAACACGCAGCTTTGAATTTTGTCGGCCATTTTTGTTGAAGCATTGACACCAGCTGCGAAAAGAAACATCGTGTCAGATAAGCGAAGAATTCTGGCTTCAAAACAAGCAGTTTGTATATGAATGAAAGAATATTCAGTAATATCAGTCCCAGGATATCTAGGTCACACGCTTCATTTCTCATTGAATGATTTTTATTTTTATTTTTAGGAAAAGAACTCTTGGCTGAAGATAAGTTTTCATAAATGGAACTTGATATTCATGGATCAACGTTAAGTTCATATCTAATTCATTTATTTTGACGATTGTTAAGAAAAAAGGGCAAAAATTCGGCAACGACATTCGAAGGTTTAAGGCTATTTTCAAGAATTGTTTTTATTAACGTGTTTAAGAATCTTGCTTACCAACATGTTCTGTAAAATCATCCGATTATATCAATATCGCAATTATTCCGTTTTGCGAGAAGGTAGAGTGTAAGCAATATGTTGAAGAAGAAGAAATGAAAAATAGAAGAATAAACGAATTGAGAAAAGCAAGGAAGAAATAGGTAAGTGAAATGTGTTAAGTAAGAAGAAAGAAAGAAAAAATGAATGTATGTGAAATTGCAACACAAGAAGAAAAAAGGCGAAAAAAGGAAGGCAACGGAAAAGAAGGAGAAAAAGGAAAGAAAAAAAATGTCCGAAAGAAGAAAAAATGTGAGAAAAGAAATAAAAAGGGAAAAACGAAGAAAAAGGAGAAAAAGAAGAAAAAGGAAAAGAAACAAAGGCTAAAAGAAGAAAAATGAAAATAATTAGAAAAAGGAAAAGAAGAAAAAAGATGAAGAAGAAAAAGGAGAAAAAGAAAAGAAAAAATGTCCGAAAGAAGAAAAAATGTGAGAAAAGAAATAAAAAGGGGAAAAAAAGAAGAAAAAGGAGAAAAAGAAGAAAAAGGAAAAGAAGAAACAAAGGCTAAAAGAAGAAGAAAAAGGAAAATAATTAGAAAAGGGAAAAGACGAAAAAAGGTGAAGAAAAAAAAGGAGAAAAAGATGTCAAAGGAACAGAAGAAACAAAGGCTAATGAAGAAAAAGGAAAAGAAGACGTAAAAAGAAAAGAAGGATAAAAAGGAAAAAAATGAAAAAGTCAGAAGAAGAAAAACGGAAAAGAATAAGAAAACGGCTAAAAGAAGAAAAAAGGAAAAGAAGAAGAAAAAGGAAAAAAATAACCAAAAGCAAAAAGAAGACAAAGGAAAAGAAGAAAGAAAGGGTAAAAGAAGAAGAACAAGGAAAAAAAAAAGAAGAAATTATGAAGAAAGGAAAAAAACAAATGCCAAAAGAAGAAGAAAAGGAAAAGAAGAAGAAAAATTAAAGAAGAAGAAAAAGCAAAAGATAAAAAGGTTAAAAGACAAAGAATAAGGGGGGGGAAGCCTGAAGAAAGAAAATAAGAAGGAAAAAGAAAAGAAGAAAACTGAAAAGAAGACACAATGGCCAAAAGGAGAAGAAAAAAAAAGAAGAAAATCAGTCTAAAAGAAGAAGAAAAAGGCCAAAAGAAAAAGAAGGAAAAGAAGAAGAAAAAGGCCAAAAGAAAAAGAAAGAAAAGAAGAAGAAAAAGGAAATATATGAATACGAGCAATAAAAACTCAAGAATAATGAATGAGAAAGAAATCTGCAAAAAGTGAAAGATAAACGGTTATAGAATATTTTTTCTGACGGATTGATTACATTTACAGTTTATGACGCGTTTTGCTTGTAATGTAAAGTCAAACAAATATTTTTACAATATACGAATATTTTTAGAATGATTTTTCTGATACATACCCTACTAATTAACCTATAGCTGGGTGAGAAGTGGTGGATTATGAATCCACCTTTCCCAAAGGGGTATGAATCCACCTCAGTGTTCATAGGCACAGTATATAATAGATAGATAGATAGATAGATAGATAGATAGATAGATAGATAGATAGATAGTGTTGTAACCTAGAAAAGGTTACTGAATGAGGAATAACCAAAACGGAGGTTGGAAATGAAATGGGAATCTTTATGACATCAACAAAATATAATACTCGCCAGCGGCGTGAAGTAGGTAAACCACTGCTAGTGGCGGACTACTTAGACAGCGTATTACCCCCACTTACAATAGTGTAAGTAAAGGTAACGAAGTTGACATGCAATTGCTATTCCGTCCTCTAATTTCCAATTCCGTGCCATTACACCACCAGCACCTCCTATTCCAAAGTGTTCACTCATTTACGTCCTGACCAGGTTCAGTGTTCCTTAACTTCGGTGGTCAAATAGTAGAGAAAGATGTAGACGATTAAATTAAGAGGAAGAAAAGGAGAAAGAAGGGGTGAATAAGAAAGAAAAGGAGAAAGAAAGGGATAATAATGAGAAGAAAAGTGAGGAAAAAGACAATAACTACAAAAGAATGAGGAAAAAAAAACGAAGAGAGAAAGGAGAAAATCAATATCAATAATAATGAAATAGATAATAATAATAATAATAGAAATAATCAAATGAAAAATCATTAAAAATAAAACAATCGATATAAGGGAAATTATGTTTTATCACTGTTTCAACCGTAGAGAACCGATTTCTCCTGGAAGAAAGTAATAATATTTCCTTTTTTTTTTTTTTTTTTTGCTTCTTGACAACTTAATGAATGTTTTTATTGCACAGAAACAATAATAATATTGTTCTATTTTCTTCTCATTATTTTATTTTCATCCAATCATTTATTTATTGGCTTATTTGTTGGGTGTTAAATTGAAACTATATTTTTTCTTTTATCTTTCCGAAAACGGATGAGTTCACAAAACAAACCTGCTTCAGAAAGAGGAGAAACTGTGAATAGACAATAGGCAAAATGTGTGAAACACAGTGACGGCCGACACAAGATACTACAAACACGTGCAGTGACCTTGGGCGCCATCAAAGCCGAGGGCGTCATCATCCCGCCAATCTCATGTGTTTGAGATATTCCAAAACTTATAAAAAACATAGTTGCTATCGTCGATGACTTAAAACAGATTAAATTATTTCGATCAATAGAAAATGAGGTTGTAAAGAAGATAATAGAAAGTACCATGGAAAGATTTGTAGATCTAATGGCTAGAAAAAATGCTTTAGTTAGTATAATAAAGGTTTTCTTTACCTTTTATTAAGTTTTATTTTGTAATACACTCCTTATTCTACATTTTTATTTTTTCTCCATGTGAAAAAGAATTAAACTTGTAATGGCGCCGAAGGGAGTGACAAGACTTTCGGACCACCCTGTAGTTTATATTGCTTATATGAGGAATAGAAAGAGAATTCAATCTTGCACGCCGTTTGATGTTTTCTTATATCAGCAATGTGATTGTACAACTCCACCAACACGATTTAAATGCACTGGTCTTTTGAAAAATCGTGATAAAGCATGAATGCCATCTCCAACTTTTTCTATCTGCCTGTCCGTGAGCCCTAATTGTGTTTATGGGTCCCTCGTCGGAAAATGCTTACTGTCCACTTTATATGTATTCCTTGTCAAAGCACATATAATCGTGACGTGTACGTAGGTTAATGGACTAGATTACGTGTTTTACCTTCATTCGATCACGTGTGTCACCAATGTATCTTTTAGATACGGTATCTAGCCACCCACCCCCACGAGGGTTGCATGTGACACAAGGTCGTTTTTATCGTGGGTTTCCTGAGCCCGTAGGCTCAGCCAAAAAATGCCCGTGGAACTCGTAAAAACGAGATCGGGTAGGTCATTTTCCCCGAACGAGATTCTTTTAGATACATACTCTACCAGGGCGCTATCAAAGCCGACTGTGTCATTTTACCACTATGTTATATGTTTGGGATCTTCGAAAATTTAAGCTTATAAAAACTTGTGGTCGTCCATAACTCAAGATAGATTAAATTATTTGGCTATTTTCTCAATAGAAAATGATCTTGTAATTAAAATAATGTATCAAGTGCTTTGAAAAGATTTGCGGATTTCAAGGTTAGAAAAATGTTTTAGGTCGGATAATAAATGTCTTCTTTAACTTGTATTAAGTTGTATTTTGTAAAACACTCCATATCCTACATTTTCAGTTTTTTTTCTGAAATTAACCGTGTAAGGGCGTCGAAGTTCAGCTTGCCAGAGGTACCAGCAATCCTATTGCCGTCACTGAACACATTTAAGGGCATTAAAAATACTTTCTTTTGGTTGCTATAAAAAGGAATTAACTTGAAAGGTGATGAGCTAGAAAAATAAGAACTTTATACATAATCTATGACCGTATTGAGGTCGCAGCATGCTTTACAATAATGTGTATTGTAAAAACAACGGGAATAACATCATAGAAAATAGACTGAAAAATAAACGTTAATAGTTCATCTCCAGATCTATCCCTATGTTTTAATTAGGCAGAATTATAATGGAAAGCGTTTGTCATGTGGATTTTATCATCGTTTCTACTAAACGTACGTGACAAATGTACGTATATGTAAATGTACGTGACAGTTAAGAATTTTTGGTACGCGGTTGGTCGTCTGTCCTACCCGACTCACCTTATTCACCTGACCTTTCATCAACCGATTACTAATCTTTTTTCAATCGCTGCAAAATGCTTTTGGTCGGGGAAAGACATTCTCTAATGAGAACTCTAATCGAAAATACGTCTTCGACCAAACATTTTCACAATAAGGCCAGAGGAATTCTTCTCATAAGGTTCTGAAAAGCTGTCTGATAATTATTAGTAAGTGATTGCAAATTGTTGCAGCTAGAAAGGGTTACTGAATGAGGAATAACCAAAACGGAGGTTGGAAATGGTAATCTTTATTACATCCACAAGTAAAATACTCGCCAGCGGCGTGAAGTAGGTAAACCACTGCTAGTGGTGGACTACTTAAACAGCGTATTACCCCCACTTACAATAGTGTCCAACGTATCTATGAGGATTGGGACATACCTATTAGTGTTTATAGGTAAGAAACAATAAGCAAATGTATACGAATTTTGAATGAAGTGAAAAGTAAAACAATTCATACTGATATGACAATTTTCACAATCGCCTAAAAAGCAATCTTTTTCAATTAGGTTAAACTAAGCACTCCTATTGTATTTATTGTCCTGGGTATGACGATAAACTAGATCCCCGTCCTGGTTAAGATGATAAACTACGTTCAGCAGCAAATCCTCTGATCAGGAGGTTTTGAGGAGCGTGGAACTACCTCTTAATTGTTGGTGTTCCCAGGTCCACCCTGACCCGAGGTGGTAGCACCTGTTAGGGTCCCAGCTATGGAGAAATAGTTAACAACCTTGTGTAAAAATAGGTTTTAATACCAGAAATACTTTCCAATAAAAAATTATTACTAGCAATAATTTTTGTAGGAGAAATTATTATCAGCAATACTTTTAAAAAAATACCAGTATTCCAGTTATACATTCTTTGAAAAAAATATGTCCAGTTATAGAATTCTTCAAGGAAAAATATCCCCAGAAATAGATTTTTGAAGAAAAACATATTACCGGCAATAAAAATTTTGTCGGCATTAAATAAGCCATTGAGGTTGACATGCCGTTAAAAGAATTAACCTAACCTAACCTAACCTAACCTAATGTATTTAGGTTTAATATTGAGTTCGGCCAAACCCTCGTCGCTAAAATGTTGTAACCTAGAAAAGATTACTTAATGAGGAATAACCAAAATGGAGGTTGGAAATGAAATGGTAATCTTTATAACATCAACAAAATATAATACTCGCCAGCGGCGTGAAGTAGGTAAACCACTGCTAGTATTGGACAACTTATACAGCATATTTTCCCCCAACTTACAATAGCGTCCAACGTATTTAAGAGGATTGGGACATATCCATTAGTGTTCATAAGTACGGTATTTAATAAACAATGCATAATATATAATTGAATAAAATCTAAACGTAACGAATGTGTGGATGCTAAAAAAAAAATCAGTCATTCTTACATTTGGGTTGAATCTTCCGAGTTTTCATAGACGTCAGAACTTTAAAGGTTTTAATGGAAACCTCGAATCGATTTATTTTCTCTTTTGTCAGAATACATTATGAAATCACAAGTCAGTGTTTTCAGATATTCACACCTTTTGAATGCAAACATAAACGAACGATGTGTGAGCGATTTGCTTAATATTCGTACTTTTTTAATACCGCACACAATCCTCATGAGCATTTTGAAAATAAAATCACCGGTTGGCAATAGTTATACTAAACTGGCATGACGCAGTGATAATTAGAATAGTCTCGACGCAAGAATGATACGGAAATATTATTAGTGGTTTTCTGTTTAATGATATAAGCAAAAATTACGAAATTTCGCGCAAAGTTTAAGTTTTAGGCGTTTTGTTTGAAATTGCTAATGAATATTTGAAAAAGCTATTTTTATGTTAAAATTTTATTCGTATGCTCCTGAAAAGGCTATTTCGGATGAGCTCTATGGGGAGGAAGTGTGGTTTTGTAAACAGTGACTATTATGGCTAATAATTCAAGACACTTCGGTAAATCGAATCGAGTTCTCTCAGCCACTGTGTGTTTATCTAAAAATAAATAAGGTTAAATTCACCTTCATCCCTGCCGTGCACGGCTGAGCAGGAGAATCCTCGACTGACGCCAATTCAGTCGGGTTTCGATCCTAGCTAGAGGCAACAGAATGTCTTTTCCCACTTATGAGCTGTGATACAGCGAAACAGTCTGTCTGTGGATGACCATATATATATGATATTTATTCAAAAATATAACATAAACATTTTATACAATCTCTAAAAAATAGCCATTTGGTTTCAGAACTTCTGGTGATATTCTAAAATGTTTATGTAATAATTTTTGAATAAATATATATATATATTAAGAAATGGACAAAGTCCGACAATTTATTTATTAAAGACATTTTTATGTTTAACGTTCTTTTTTATAGATACAAGTATTTAAATAAATGCTCTGTTTATAATAAACAGTATTAATTAACATTTACCGGTCTGAATGTCCGAGAAATTTTCACAGAAAATATTCGTCCCCCGATATATATATATACACATATATATATGCATGTTTCATTAAATAATATAAAGTTTTTTCTATTTTATGTAAATTCTTTTCGTATCGTCTGATAAGCTTAATAACATTATTAGTAAAAGATGAAAGAAAATCACCATATTGATATATATTTTTTAATCCTATCTAAGCTTTCGGTTTACATAAGCCATTATCAAAGATGACAATTACATTACATTATATTAACAAATACACGGAGAAAACAATAATGATAGTCTGTTTTTGTTTGCATGGACGTCTACCAAGCAACGACAAATTCGTGCAGACGAGACACTGGAGGCGAAAATCGCACAGCAGCTCATGACATCACACAGGACAACGCGAGAGTGAAAACGAGATGTATTAAGTATGGGAAGCCGTTAGTATAAACCAATGAATTCTGTTATGAATTATAGACATTTAGGAAACATAATTGAAACTTACTGAACTGAACTGAACTGAAAGACACTAATACGTAGAAAACGACGGG